GGAGGGTCAGAGGATGAAGCTGTGGATTTTATGCTTGTGGGCAGAGGGACCTGGTGAGTGTTTTCTTTGTTCTATAGGTTATTTGTTCTCCATGAGGGTTGTGTGGCTGGGCTATGGGCCCCTGAACTGGCCAGGTGAGACAGGTCTGTCTGTGTCTCAGAGAAGGCCTTGACACTGAGACCCTTGGGGCTTTGAACAGAATCAGTGTTTTAAGTCTCTGAGTGGTTATTCCCTCCCTGTTTGCAAGGGTGGGAACTGAACACTGAGACTTAAGGCTAGTCTACACTTGAAACGTTACAGCGGCACCACTGCAGCACTTCAGTGTAGACACTACCCATGCTGAGGGGATCAGTTCTCCCATCAGCATAGATAATCCACCTCCTCCAGAGGTAGTAGTTAGGTTAATGGAAGAATTCTTCTGTCGACCTACTGCTGTCTACACTGGGGTTTGGGTTGACTTAACTATGTCACTGAGGGGGTGTGGATTTTTCACACTCCTGAGCGATGTAGCTATGCAGATGTAAGCTCCCAGTGTAGACCAGCCCTAAGTATATAAGTCAGTTGCCAGGTGTCACAGGGTGCTTCTTCAGCTACCCAGTGTGCCGCACTGCTTAGCCAGTGTCCCTTATCTCACAGTCATAAACATGCCCAGGCTCTTTCCCTTTCACCACATACACTTTTATTCCACAATTCTTTTGCCACTAGGACATGACACAGGCATATTGCCACAGCGGCTTTCCACACAGCTTTTCTCCTTCATGCTGCTTATCTTCAAAGCTTCTTCCCCATCTGCTTCCGTTTCTCATGCTTATATCCTCCCAATTACTGCCAGTTGTATCAATGGCCTAGTAATTACCACCCAGCTGCTTGTAACTCCCAAAAGAAAAGTGGTTAACAGCTTCCAGCTGAGCCTGCAGCCTTTTCTGTGCAGCAGCACCATCCGTGATTGGGGTTCTCTGTCACATCAGGTAAACTGGAGTGGCAATCTGGGTGAATTTTGGTGGGAGTTTAAAGAGGGAGTGTGATTCCTGTTTTAGGTATGACCAGGTAGCAGATGTGGAGAGGGAGAGAACAACTGCTGTGATATGCCTTGATTGTGCAACCTTTTCCTTTCTGCCAGAAGATAGAATAGATTTCTGGTGTATGATATGCAAGCTGGTGACCATAGTGGAAGAGAAGATAAGTGATCTGAAAGCATAAGTTGTAATATGATGCAGCATCCAAGAAAATGAAGACTTCTTGGGCAACCAGTTTTGGAAACCATTGTCACAGACAGCATAAGGGGAAGGATTGGCAATAAGGGAATTGGAGAGAGTAGAAACCAAAGAAGAGCACAATTTGTGACCAAGAGGGGTGTGATGGTACTTATCCCTCACTGAACAGAGAAGGGTTAACCCTGCACTGTGGGCTGAAGAAGCCTTGCCCCCTCACCCCTGCTGGTCATGCTTCAACCGGAGCATCAGTATAAAAGAGAGCAGCTCAGTTCAGTCAGAGCAGACTGCCCAGAAGGAAGGAGACACATTGCCGACTCCAGCTTGGGAGCTGCTGAAGCCCAAGGCACCAACACCCAGGCAGATACCTGGGTACTTAAGGATGCACAAGAGAGATCGGAGTTACCAGGAGCTACACAGGCCGAGGAAACTGGAGACTCCCAGACCACTGCATTGGGAGACCGGGTACAAAGTAGCCCAGGGGGGCACTACATTGATCTGGTTGTAAAACTCAGCAATAAGTCACTGTGTTTTGGTTGGATCCCTGCTTACCAAGTAGTGAGTACACTCGCCACTGACAGGGCCCTGGGCTGGGATCTGGTGGAATAGGGAGGGCCTGGGTCTCCCTATCCTGGCTGCCACTGCCCATTCCTGGGTGGCAGCCCACCTCCCCAGCGGGGCTGTAGGCCACACAGCCCTGTGAGGAGGGGCAACCATATTGACTCTGGCTGCGAGGGCACATGGCCCTGTGAAGAAGGGCAACCATATTGACTCTGGCCATTGGGCCACACAGCCCTGAGGGAGAGGGCACTTATACTGTCTCTGGCCATTAGGCCACACAGCCTTGAGGTAGCAAGTAGCTCTATTGACTCTGGCCATTAGGCCACACAGCCCTGAGGGAGAGGGTAGCTATATTGGCTCCAGCCACTAGGCCAGGCTGCCCTGAGGTTAAGGGTGGTAAGGTGGACTTAGCCATGGGGCTGCAATGCCTTTGCCCCACCCAAGAGGGGGACGGAGTGTACTCACCCCGCAACATGGAGAAAGAAAGCAAGGATGCATTCAACTGAACTGGAAGTGTCACAACATTTTCAGATACTCAGAACTACAGAAGAACCTGTCACTGGAGGAATGGACCAGAAAGCTACACAGGACATACCTGATGAGTCTCTTTGCGGTATGAAAAAAGCAACAACCAAGAGAGGTTCTTCAACCATCCTGAGAATGCAAACAACCATCATTGGCAACTACATATTAAGAAGAGCTGACAGAGAATTCAGCAAGGGACACAGGAACAACAGCATGATGTGCTCTGTCCCTGGAGAGAAGATATGAGATGTAACTCCAGGATTAGGCAGTTTTAGGGTGTGACGCTCTGTACCTCGGGGGAACACCTAGCACGCCCATGTTCATCCTTGTAAAATGATTGTGTGATATCCAGTGCAAAGTTTGTCATGTCAGGTGTCTTCGGAAGGCTCATGAGGCACTGAGCATCATTGTTACAGTAATGTTATAGGTTATCATTTCACGTATGTAGTTATGAGGCTGAAAATGTATCCTCACGGCTTAAAATAAGCCCAGGGAAAAACTCTCCAAGAGCAGAGAGGCAGTTCACACCTCATGAGGGCAGGTATGGGACAAACCCAGCCCAGCCTCACAGGAACAAAGGGCACTGGCCTAGGCAGCAACAAAAGAATCTCTTAGACTCTCGAGTGAGTCACCCCCCTTCCTTTGGTCAGTTTGGAACTGTGATGAGGTAATGCTCACCTGACTCTGAAGGGCGGGGGGCAAAGCCAAGAGGGAAGAAAGGACATGATAAAAGGGAGAGACATTTGCCGTGCTCTCTCTCTCTTCCACCTACATCTACAGGCACCACACCAAGCGACTGAAGCGCTGATCAAAGGGGAGAGCCTGGCTGAAGAGCAACCAGCCAGCCTGTGATGAGAAGCATCTAAGTTTGTAAGGGCATTGAAAGTGTTAAGATCAGCTTAGAATGCATATTGCTTTTATTTCATTTGACCAAATCTGACTTGTTGTGCTTTGACTTATAATCACTTAAAATCTATCTTTGTAGTTAATAAATTTGTTTGTTTATTCTACCTGAAGCGGTGTGTTTGGTTTAAAGCATGTCAGAGGCTCCCCTTGGGATAACAAGCCTGGTACACATCAATTTCTTTGTTAAATTGACGAACTCATATAAGCTTGCAGCATCCAGTGGGCATAACCGGACACTGCAAGATGAAGCAGCTTACATGCCAGAGGCTGTGCGTGAACAGCCCAGGAGTGGGGGTTACCCAGCAGAGCAGGGTAAGGCTGGCTCCCAGAGTCAAGGATTGGAGTGACCTAGCAGACCACCATTCCAGATAACACCAGGGGGGAATGTCACAAAGGGCAAAGCTTATCTGTATGGGAGACCAACTTTTTTTGGGGAGGGGTGAAGGGGGGACGACTGGTCCCAGACTGTGGAATGACCTCCTTCAGCAACTAAGGCATCATCACAAACCTCACCACCTGCAAGGCTCATTTCTTTGGCCTTGATTTCTCTAACAAACCCATATCAACTGATTTTTTATTATTTAACTATATCTATGTAAAACCCAGCCAAAAGAAGACACTCCACTGCACATACTTCTGTCCCTGGGGATATTACTAATGGGCAGCACCGACAAGAGTAACAATTGCTCAGTTAATTGCTCAATTTTTTTTTATTATACTGAATAGTAACTTTTTATTTTACAATTTCAGACTCCAAGTGAACAAATGCAATGGATTATGTCAGGTAAATACACGTCATTTCATCAGTGGTGAGCCATGCATCTTACTCATTCCACTTGCAGTAAAGTCTGATCATAGAAAGATTCAAAAATTTCACCCGTGGCTATTTCCATCAGCGATTTCTGTGCATGATAGTAAGTTGAAAGGAAACAAGGTACATTTTGGTGGATGCATCTCAAAATAGTGACTGGAATTTTTTCAAATACCATTTGCTGACTATTCAGACAAATATGAAATGCCTCTATCCCAGAAAAATACTTTATCTGCCTTCTCTGTAGCACTTTTCCATGTAACTTGAATATAGCATTCATATTTAACGTAATGTTTCAAATATTGATTAGTTCAATAGAAGTCACCAAAATTATTTGTATAAACAGTAGAGTTTATTAAAACAAAGGTGGTGTCATTGTAGATCCAAAGATGCTGGGATAACATACAATACATATTTTGTACGTTTCCACAAACTTGGTCATACTGAGGGCTGGCATTTCTATGATAGAATTTTGGAATTAAAAAGGAAAGGAGGTGGGGCTATTATATGTGCCGCCGAAGACCCGGAACGAGTGAAGGACCCGCCACCGAACTGCCGCGGAAGACTCGGAGCGCCATTCGGTAAGTACAAGTGCCGCAGTGGGTGGCACCCTTTTTTATGTCTGCTCCCCCGAAATTGCTTTGCCCCAGACCCCCTGATTCCTCTGGGCAGCCCTGGGCAGCATATTGTGCAGGAACCAAGCTTTGGGTCATGGAGTAGCATGTCCCAGCTCCTTCAGCAAAATCTGATGGTTGTGGGGAAGGGGTCACTTGGGGTGACCTGAATGACACATTATACTTACAGTCAGACACACCCCAACTCCTTGATTACTGAATGAATACCGAATTGGCTCGTCATTTAAATGTTTACCACTGGAATGTGATTGTATAAGATCCCATGCTGATGTACTGTAACTAGTTTGGACCGTGCAATAAGGACCTGGGAACCACAAATCAAGAGCTGGGGATAAGGAACCAGCTTTATTCTCCTGCTTTGCTGCCCCCTCGGCCAGGAAAGCGCCCCAGGAAAGCACCCCCAAGCGGGAGGGAAGGAGCAGGGCGGATATGTACCAGTTCACGGCTGGGTTACGGTCCTGGGGCCCTGGAAAGCAGGCGCATTAGGAGCGTGGAGCGTGACGAGCACCCGTGTCCTCTGATTACTGCCGGCAGGTCAGATGGGCTCTGCCCGCCGGGCACAGGGGCAGCCGGGGACAATGGCCGCTCAGAGGAGCCTGCCCAGCTGACAGCCCCGAGGACGTCTCCTGCTGAGCGGGGGAAATAGCCGTGGAGAGGCAGCGGGGATAAATAGAGGTCCGCAGGCACAGCACGGCGTCTCCCCGCGGCTTGCCCCGCAGCATGGCGTGCCAAGCGGCCGGCGAGGAGCTGCCGCGCCCCCGCGGCGGGGACATGCCGCGCCCCTGCTGCAATGGCTACAGCGAGCTGTTGTCGGCCGAGATGCGCCGGGCCCTGGTGCAGTGTCGCCCGGAGAAGCGCAGCCGGGAGGAGGCGGCCGAGGGCGGCGAACTGCCTGCCTTGGAGGACGCCTACCTGAGCATCCTGGAGGGGCTGGGCGAGAACCCTGCCAGGCAGGGGCTGCTCCAGACGCCCAGGAGGGCTGCCAAAGCCATGCAGTTTCTCACGAAAGGCTACCAAGAAACCATCGAGGGTGAGTCCTGCTAGCCGCGGGGATGCGCTTTGCCGACGCCTGCCTGTGAAGGTTGTGGGGGTTGGACTAGATGACCACCTGAGGTCTCTTCCAACCCTGATCTTCTATGGTTCTATGGAGGGGAAAGTGCAAGCGCCCCTGGTCTCTGCCTCCCTGCTCATGGAGACCAAAGTCCCTCAGCTGGAGCCTCTCCTCCCAGCTGCTGCTTCATTGTCTTCTACCTCTCTGCCAGAGACAAGGAGGATGGGGGTATAGCTTGAATTGGACCCAGGACTGATGGTGAGAGAGACCAGTTTTTCATCTACACCAAGCGCTCCTTCAGGCCTGGGAAACTGACTCAGTGGGTCAGAGCTAAGCACAAGGTGGAACAGAGTAAGGTGGTTAGGGTAAAAGTTAACACATCTTTCAAGGGATCATTCAAGGTGAAGTGGCCAGTCATAGGGGGGAAAGGGAGGGGAAAAGGCAGCTGGGGGGGGGAGAGTAGTGGGTTACAGATTGTTGTAATAAGCCACAAATCCAGTGTGTCTATATCTGATCCCTCATCCTCAAAGAAAACCTGCACAACACTTTCAAAAAAGGAGCCTGGTAGCTTAAATTCATAACTCTGCTAGACACTAAAAGTCAGGGACTAGAGACACTGGATTTATGGCTTATTACAGCAATCTGTAACCCACTAATAACCCCTTCCTCCCCCAGGTGCTTCCCTCAACTGGAGGGTTAATGGACCACTTCACCTTGACTGGCCCCTTGAAATACATTTAAACTACTTATCCTGAACAATCTCTTCCACCTTGTATTTAGCTGACACTGTGAATAAGTTTCCCAGACCTGAAGAAGAGCTCTGTGTAAGCTCCAAAGCTTGTGCTATAATCACACTTCATTTTTCACTTCATTAAGGGGGCAGATTCTCACATTCCTGGAAAAAGAAGAACAAGAGTACTTGTGGCACCTTAGAGACTAACAAATTTATTAGAGCATAAGCTTTCGTGGACTACAGCCCACTTCTTTGGATGCGGATACAGACTAACACGGCTGCTACTCTGAAACCTGACATTCCTGGAAGGTGTTCTGTGGGTTTCAGTTCTTGCATTTAACAGCCTTCACCTCTGTAAACCTTCAAAACCCTTCCCAATCTCATAAACTTGACTGTATGAAATATACTATCAGTGAAATGTGGGAATTAAAAACAGGGAATTTTCTCCATTTTACTCTCCAGCTTCAGGATGGTGTTCATATGTATAAGTGGCATTCGGGGGGGAAGAAGGGGGAAGTAATTTTCAAATAAATGAATCTGAGCAGAATCAGGTATATTACTCATAGAATACTAATTTGCCATTTTGTGCTATGTTTGTACCGCACCTAGCACAACGGGGTCCTGGTCCAGGACTGGGGCTCCTTTGCACTACTGCCATACAAATAAAAAGAAACAAGAATTTCAGCTTGAGCATCAGTTAAAAAAGAGGGAGGGGGACAGCAAGTGGCAGCAGGCTCGATGGTTGTGTATGAATTATTCCTGGAGGTATACCAATAAAATTTAAACTTAAATAGTATCTTTATTACCTTAATTTTGTAAAATGAGGCCCTGCGGCTGCAAACATTTTTGGGGTGTGTGCAAATAAGTTTAATGTTACTATTCGCAGAAGTGAAGTTATGCAAACACTTATATCCAGGAGTAAGAATCAATTGCAGTTTTACCTTTCAGGGATTTTTATCCTAAACTTTTCTTTTTCCACCGTTGACATGTATATTAGTTACATTTCCCCCCATTTTGTATTTTTCTGGTTCTCTATTCTGTATCTTAGTATCCACAATAGGAGCTGGTCTCTGTGATGACAAATTTTTCTCATCTTCAGTGTTTAGACTTTTCTCTTTCAAATGAACATAAACAAATAAGGCTTTGCAGCTTCTGAAGTACAGATTTGATAAAGAATTTGTGTACTAGGGACTCATCTTCTCCAAACAGATAACATTCTATACTAGTTTATTAGGAAATAAGCTAATATACACCTAAACAGTGGGTGCTGTCCTCTTTCTATTTATAGGCATGCACTGTGATCAGTGCTCCCTTCTCCCTGCCTGTGACTGGGAGTTGGGACCATTCAGTAGGCCCCCAAAAGTAAGAACTGCATAAAAAGAAGTTTAGCACTGCTTGGCAGGGCTGAAGCCCACTGGATGACACCTGTGTATAAAGTTACTTATATGCATGTAAGATGGGGTGTGCGAGTTGAGTGTAGGATTCCACCTGTACTTAGAACTGATTTTCTAAAATATGCTTTCAGTTCTATACAACCATTGCATTTCAGCTAAGAATATGTCCATATTAAAACTATTTTTAAAAGGTTTGGGGTTGTGCTTTTCTCTCTCACATCAGATTTTGTTTTGTGCTTAGGAAAGTATGTATCAATTGCAGTACATGCATAACGCTATTTAGGATAGAATCCTGTGTAGAACCTTTCATTAACTGCTCATCTTGTCCTTTCAGATATACTCAATGATGCAATCTTTGATGAAGACCATAATGAAATGGTGATCGTTAAGGATATTGATATGTTTTCCCTTTGTGAGCACCACTTGGTACCCTTCTTTGGCAAGGTAGTTATCCATCTGGCTTATAGCAAATATTTGTCATTCAGAGGTCTTGGGTGTTCTACTGAATAAAGGGAAATAAAATGTGTTTTGAAAAGGTGTGGGTTGTTGCTCATAGCCAGTGTAGTCCTGTAGAATCCAGAATAGTCATTCTTAGGAAGAGTTTTAAAACATGCCAACTATGATGTGGGCATTTTGAGGTGATAAGTAGAGGATTTATTTTGTGGACTAACTGCATCTGCAGTATGAAGCATATTAGCGTCAAGAAAGAAGAGCCATATTTTCTACAATATGGTCATAGGAAATTGATTACCTTTGGAGAGGCTCCTTAGCAGGGATCCTAGAAATCCATGTGTTGCAGAAAAACATGGAATATGCATTTTTACAGAGAATCTTTAGTTTTTACATTTTGTGTAAAACTAAAAATGTATTAACTAAATTTTACTGAAAGTAGCAGTTTCACTTTTTCAGTGCACGTAACCTGCCCCTCTTGTGGTTGATTTTTGAATGCATTTTAAATCTACATAGCTAAACATCTCCAATAAACTGCTTCTGGTGCATATAAGTTACTCAGCGGCATAAAGGGGTTCATATTTTAATGCATCTCAAATTTAACATAAGAATGGCCATACTGGGTCAGACCAAAGGTCAATTTAGCCCACTATTCTGTCTTCTGACTGTGGCCAATTCCAGGTGCCCCAGAGGGAATGAACAGAACAGATAATCAAGTGATCCATCCCGTTGCCCATTCCCATTTTGGCAAACAGGCAAGGGACACCAGGCCTTCCCATCCTGGCTAATAGCCATTGATGGACCTATCCTCCCTGAACTTACCTAGTTCCCTTTTTTTTGTTTTTTTTTTTGAACCCTATTATAGTCTTGGCCTTCACAACAGGTTGACTGAGAGTTGTGTGAAAAAATACTTCCTTCCTGCTGCCTGTTAATTTAATTTGGTGACCCCTAGTTCTTGTGTTATGAGAAGGAGTAAATAACACTTCTTTATTTACTTTCTCTACACCAGTCATGATTTTATAGACCTCTTATATTCACACACCCCCACCCCCGTCGTCTCTTTTCCAAGGTGAAAAGTACTAGTCTTATTGATCTCTCCTCATATGGAAGACATTCCATACTCCTAATTATTTTTGTTGCCCTTTTCTGAACCTTCTCCAATTCCAATGTATCTTTTTTGAGATGAGGCGACCACATCTGCATGCAGTATTCAAAATGTGGGAGTACCATGGATTTATATAGAGGCAATATGATATTTTCTGTCTTATTATCTATCCTTTTCTTAATGATTCCCAACATTTTGTTTGCTTTTTTGACTGTTGCTGCACACTGAGTGGATGTTCTCAGAGAACTATCCACAATGATTCCAAGATCTTTCTTGAGTCGTAACAGCTAATTTAGACCCCCTCATTTTTTATATATATATATAAAAAATCTGGGATTATGTTTTCCAATGTGCATTACTTTGCATTTATCAACATTGAATTTCATCTGCCATTTTCTTGCCCAGTCACCTAGTTTTGAGAGATCCTTTTGTAGCTCTTTGCAGTCTGCCTGGGACTTAACTATCGTGAATAGTTTTATATCAGCTGCAAATTTTGCCACTTCACTGTTTATCCCCTTTTTCCAGATCATTTATGAATATGTTGAATAGTATTTGTCCCAGTACAGATCCCTAAGGGACAGTACTATTTACCTCTCTCCATTCTGAAAACTGACCATTTATTCCTACCATTTGTCTCCTATCTTTTAACAAGTTACCAATCCATAAGAGGACCTTCCCTTTTATCCCATGACCGCTTACTTTGCTCAAGAGCCTTTGGTGAGGGACCTTGTCAAAGGCTTTCTGAAAATCTAAGTACACTATGTCCACTGGATGCTCTTTGCCCACATGAGGGGGTCAACACGCAAAGAATTCTAGTAGATTGGTGAGGCATTATTTCTCTTTACAAAAACCATGTTGACTCTTCCCCAATGAATTATGTTAATCTATGTCTCTATGGCAATTTTGTTCTTTACTATAGTTTCAACCAGTTTGCCCAGTACTGAAGTCAGGCTTACCAGCCTGCAATTGCAGGGATCACCTCTGGAGCCCTTTTTAAAAATTGGCATCACATTAGCTATTCTCCAGTCATTTGGTACAGAAGCTCATTTAAATGATAGGTTACAAACTACAGTTAGTAGTTCTGCAATTTCACATTTGAGTTCCTTCCGAATTCTTGGGTGAATACCATCTGGTCCTGGTGACTTATTACTGTTTACTGTCATGCGTCTGACGAAGTGGGTATTCACCCACGAAAGCTTATGCTCCAATATATCTGTTAGTGTATAAGGTGCCACAGGACTCTTTGTTGCCTGTTACTGTTTAGTTTATCAGTTTGTTCCAAAACTTCCTCTAAGGACACCTCAATCTGGGTAGTTCCTCAGATTTGTCACCTAAAAAGAATGGCTCAGGTTAGGGAATCTCCCTCACATCCTCTGCCGTGAAGACTGATGCAAAGAAGCCATTTAGTTTCTCTGCAATGGCCTGATCATCCTTGAATGTTCCTTTAGCATCTTGATTGTCCAGTGGCCCCACTGGGTGTTTAGCAGGTTTCCTGCTTCTGATGTACTTAACAAAAAAATTGCTATTACTTCTTGAGTCTTTGGCTAGCTATTCTTCAAATTCTTTTTTGGCCTTCCTCATTATATTTTTATACTTCATTTGCCAGTGTATGCTCCTTTCTATTTTCCTCACTAGGATTTAACTTCCACTTTTTAAAGGATGCCTTTTTGTCTCTCACCGCTTCTTTTACTTTTGTTTTTTAGCCACAGTGGTACTTTTGGTTCTCTTACTATGTTTTTTTAATTTGGAGTATACATTTAAGTTGAGCCTCTATTATGGTGTCTTTAAAAAGTTTCCATGCAGCTTGCAGGGATTTCACATTTGGCATTGTACCTTTTAATTTCTGTTTTTCCCCACCATGGGGATGTTCAATTTAATTTTATTATGATCCCATTACCAGGAAGTCTAGCTATATTCACCTTTTGGACCAGCTGCTGAGCTCTACTTGGGACTAAATCAAGAATTTCCTCTCCTCTCGTAGATTCCAGGATTAGCTGCTCCAAGAAGCAGTCATTTAAGCTGTCAAGAAACTTTATCTCTGCATCCCGACCTGAGGTGACATGTACCTAATCAATATGGGGATAGTTGAAATCCCCCATTATTATTGAGTTCACTTCAGCCTCCAGCTGTGAGTAATTAAACGTATGAAAAAATGCCAAAAAGCTTTAAAAATCATCCCTAAAGCCCGTATCACTAAGTTTGGCAAGAACAAATTTCACGTTCGTGGTGAGGTGCTGTTCTGTACTGTATGCAGCAAGGCTGTAGATTATGTTCAAAGGCAGACAATTGTAGAACACACGGAAAGCACTAAACAAACAATGAAAAGAAGAGGTTAAAACAGCAGGGCCATCAACAACAGTAAAGAAACAATACACTGTGACTGGATGATTTTATTATAATGATTGATGGCGCTGGTAGGCTTGGAACTTGCTTTAAAATTGTAAATATATCAGTAAAACATTGTGTTCAGCTGGTACCTATATATATTGTAGCTAGGGAAACTAAAGTGCAGCATTTCATTTTAATTGTGGAAAAACACAGATTTTTGTTTTTTTTAAATCGGAGAATTTTGGATTTTTTAATCATGGAAAACTAGGATTCCTGCCCCTTCCACATTAAATATCCACTGAAGCTGATTTGTGAGGGGGGGCATTGCCTGCATAGATATATGGGATTAAGCTTGTCTGAGTATACACAGGGAAATTTTTCCTGAAGTCTCTCCCAAACACAACTTAAACTCCTTAAAAGTGATTGCACTCAGCATCCCAAACTGGCAATCATTGTACAACCAAAGCTCCCAATGCAGGGGCCTGCTAGAATGAAGATTAAATAAATAAATAGTTCCATGTATCTTACTCCTGCCTCTTCCCAGCTCCATCTTCCTCCCTTCCACATTGCTTTTTCTCCTGTAACAATCTCCTTCTTTCCTTTCTCCAGTTTCACTCTCTCTCAATAAACCTCCTCTCCTACTTGCTGCTTTCCCTTCTCGTGCCTCTCTCCGACACTTTTTCCATGAAGACTGATAATTCTTGAGAGCTCAAACTGTTTGGAATGTACAAGAACATGAACGACTGTCTTCTTCCTTACCAATAAATCTACTTGCTCTACATATGCTCATAAGCTACACAGCATCTAAACCAGGGGTTCTCAAACTGGGGGTTGGGACCCCTCAGGGGGTTGCAAGGTTATTACATGGGGGGTCGCAAGCTGTCAACCTCAACCCCAAACCCCACTTTGCCTCCAGCATTTATAATGGTGTTAAATATATAAAAAGTGTTTTAACTTATAAGGGGGGTCACACTCAGAGGCTTGCTATGTGAAAGGGGTCACCAGTAAAAAAGTTTGAGAGCCAATGATCTATACATATGCACCTTTTCCATCTACTACATGGTGCAGGTCTGACATCACCGGGCACTTTGTCTGCATTAAGGATCCAGTCCTGCTCCCATTAAAAGCAGCACTGAAACTCCCATTGACATCACTAGAGGAAAGATCAGGCCTGAAGCGGGCAGGTTTAGGTTCTGGGAGCCCTGATCCTGCAATTTCCACTGGAGTGGGCAGACTGCTATGAATGTGGAGACCCATTGACTAGGCTAGGGCTCCTCACAGACACAGTCATGACTGTGCATTGTACATTGCACCTCAGAGCCCTGAGTTTATTCAGACCTTCAACTTTCCTGCACAATCAGGTGTGTAGTAATCATTCAGCACTTAGACTCCTGTTCATATTTGCAGGTACATATTGGATACTTACCTGTAAAGAAAGTGGTTGGACTAAGCAAGCTTGCAAGGTAAGTGCATCTATGCAATGCTATAGTGAAGGTGTAAGGGCCAAATCCTGTTCTCAGTGCACAGCCCAAGTGAGGATGCCATGTACTGGGATGCTCTGCAGAGAGAAAGAGACAGGAATACTTCCCCTGAGATGTATGATAGCAACAAAGGTTTTTGCTCCAGAGGCACTACTGAAGCTTTAGGGCTGCAGTAAGCCCTGGCGTTCCTTTGGGCTGGTGGCTCTGCAGTAGCAGATCCCCTGTTCCCACTTGCCCTGCACACTGGAGTGCATGGAGTCTACTGTGGAGCTGCTGAAGCGTGCAGAGGGATGTGGAACTCCTGTATGGCATTCTGATCGCCCTTTCACAGTGGTGTGGGGTCCCCTCTCACTCCAGGGGGCAGGATTTTCCACTGTTCATGTAAGCCAATAATCAGGATTATGAAGGTGAGCTGAGAAGGACCCTTCTCAATAGAAAATTTGGATTTCCTCACTGTGATTTTTAAGGATAACTTACCATAAGAGAAACTGCATAAGCGTTTGTGGCTGATATAAGCCTTTTATCCCACAATTGTGCTGAATTTGTAATGCCCCCCAACCACTGAGACCCCTCAATCTGTGCATACAGAGCAGTCCTCATCACTGCTAATAGAAGGGGGCTAGTGGGAGAACGTTCTCTTTGAGGGGCTGTCAGTTTTGGCACTGCCTCTCCACTTGGGACTGAAACAGCCCTGTGGGCATGCTGCAGTGCTTCGGCATTGCTTCTCAGGAAGGAAGGGCTTAACCGTGGCTAAGGATTTGTGTGAATAGTTCAGCTAAGAACCAATGGCTGGCAGTTTTATGTTTATTGGCAGCTGCTGCAAGTGGTGCTGCCTTAGCTTTTGGGTTTAATTTATTTGTTTTATATATCAGGGTTGCCTGCAGTTTTCAGATATCTGCCTCTTTTTGTATAGGGACATTTTTTTATAAATGAAATTCACTTTTCTACTTAACAGGCTGAGTTTGTTAAGTAAAAGTTGATGGCCTATACATCTTAAAAGTTCTGATGTCAATAGGCAGACTATAATTAAGTGTCTAGTAGTAGCCCTGTTATAATCTATGATCGTGTCTTCTGCATTCTGAGCACCAGCATGTTAATGATCGATCAGAGGCTGCTTTACAAATGTGACACAAAGGCTGATAATCCACAGATTGAAAATAGATTATAATGTGATTAAATAAGATCTTTTTGAGGCAGTACTTAATTTAAAAAAAAAATGCTTTCTATAAGGGATTCTAAATCCATATATAAGGTACTTTGGTTAAAATAAGTGGTACAAAGTAGAATATATTAATACTCAATATATAAGGTATTATAAAATGGACTGAATATCAGCTATATGTAAATCACATTACATACTGTAATGTAAAATCACTTATACTACATTATATTTAGCCTTCTAAATAGCCAAGATAACATCCTACTTTAACACCTGTGATACCCAGAAAGTCTATTAAGCTCAACTGAAATTGTGTTTAAATCAGGAGGAAATATTTATTATTCTTACATTTTCCCCCCCCCAGAATTGTTGAAATCTTTAGTCGAAGACTGCAAGGTGTGTATCCTTTCTACAATATCTCTCTGTTCTGCTGAACTATATTTCAGCTAGATGATGCCCAACTGAAGAAAGTACTTAAGTGTATGCCTAATTTTAATTATGGCACTAGTTCTGTTGAAGTAAACGTATTTAAAGTAAGACATAGACCTAAGTACTCTCCTGAACTGGGACCATAATCAGTGTGGCATATTTGTTAAAGCTGTCAAGGGACCAAGCAGAAAACATCAAACTAAAGCAGCCTGATCCTACACGTCAACAGTATATTGATTTTATTGGAAGCTTGAGGCGTCTATTCCTAAGTCCAGAACCTTGGTATTTACAATTCAACAGTTGGGTCGGTATAATGGGGAAGTTATGCATATGAAATAAGAAATGTGTTGGGGGCCCTTTTTCTGAAAGAATGAGGAAGTGTACTCGGTGCATAGGCCACCTCTGATAAGTAGCCAAGGAGGACAGCAGTCTCTGCAGTGTGTGGAAAACTGACTTTGGATAATGTGTTTCACAGGGAGTGAGGGCGGTTTTGTTAACTATTAAAAATCCTGCGGGCAATCAAGGTGGATAAATATTTGCTCACTGGATAAAGAACAGATTTCAGGGCTCCAAAGTTGTCATTCCAGCACTTTTTACAAGCACTAAATTCACATTGAAAAATTAATTAAAAAAACCCATTTCTAGCATAGGGGCTCATTTTATTTTAGTTAGCTAGTGGGAGAATTTGATGGACTGTATTTAGAGCACATTAGGAATGTATTTTCTTTAAGAGTTTGCAAGGAGTACCAAGAGTGGCAATTACATATAGAAAAATCATACTGTTCTCTTTCCAGTTCAAGAGCGACTTACCAGACAGATCGCTCTGGCAATTACTGAGGCTCTGAAACCTGCCGGAGTGGCTGTGATTGTAGAAGCATCGTAAGTAATTCATTAGTGTTAGTCCCATTAAAGTCAACCTCTAAGAACAGTTACAACACTATCTGAAATGTCATTGTTACCTAAACAGACTTGAGAGAGTTGCGTTTCAGTTCCTACCACAGACTTCCTGTAGGACCTTAGACAAGTCATTTAATCTCTCTAGCTCAGTTCCCCATCTGTAAAATGAGGATCCTGATATCACTGCTCTTCACTGGGCACATCAGGATGCCTTCACTAGTAACTGTGAGGTATTCAGATGCCATGATGATGGGGCCATTTAAGTACCTGGATAGATAACTTCTAAGTATAGAGAAATATTACAGTACTTCAGATACTAGCTTATCAGAAATGGTGACCTCTGTCAACATCATCCTTTCTCACACACTCCAACAAATGCTGCAGGATATGTATGGGTAACTTAGCTTGAAGTGACAATGTAGGGTATAAAAGTAGGGTATACAGATTTTGGCACATATTCCACTGTGTGTCACTTTGTGTGCTCAAATTGGTACAAGTCTTAGTAGTTTTTTCAGGCTTACCCCAAAAATTGTCCAAGTGTATTCTAACATGTGGACCAGTCACATCTGGCACCAATACATTTAGGATATGTCTACCCTGCAGTTAAACACCTGTGACTGGCCCATGTCAGCTGACTCGGGCTTGAGGGGCTTGGGCTAAGGGGCTGTTTAATGGCAGAGTAGACATTTCGGCTTGAACTGGAGCACAAGCTCTGGGACCCTCCCTCCTCATGGGGTCCCCAAACCTGAACATCTACACTGCAATTTTAGAGCCCCGTAGCCCTAGTCCCATGAGCCTGAGTCAGCTCACACAGGCTGGCCATGGGTGTTTAATTACAGGGTACACATACCTTTATTGGCCTGGTTTGTGCTGTTCTGCAGGGCAAAATTGGTGAACGTAGACAGAATAGTTCAAACACGATCTGCTTAAGCTTCCTGTAAATATTTAATCATTTATTTCAACTTCAGTCGCTAAGTATGGTTGTAAACAAACAATTCCCCTCACTAAATGTTGTTTTGAAATACTACAACATTTAAAGAAAATGGAATTCAAGAATGATTCTCCTATCAATAGTTCTGAGTGAACTGGTGGCTCCCAATAATATTTGGACATGCTTTAATTAATCAAAGGCACTACTTGTCACACAGTGTATTGCTGATTATCATAATGGTAATTAGATCCAGTTATTCCAGTGTGCAGGTTATTAACATATTAAACTAAGGTTGGCTATTTAACTAATTACCTTGTAGGCACATGTGCATGGTTATGCGAGGGGTTCAGAAAATGAACAGCAGGACTGTCACCAGCACCATGCTCGGAGTCTTGCGAGAAGATCCAAAAACCAGAGAGGAATTTCTTACACTGATCAAGAATTAAATGGAAACAGCTTCCCACTCACTGTTTGTTGGCTCTAACAGTAAAACCAATTGCCAGAAACTAATTACTGTGTGTGATGCTGGACTGTTTGTAGAGTCTGTGTTTAGAAATAGCTGTGTGACAGCTTGGTTCTCACTAATGCCTTGTAATGTCATAAAATATGTGGGAGAGAATGAATGTGCCTAAATCACAATTATTGAACTGAAAAGAGATTAGCTGTTTCCCAATGCTAACTGTAGAGTGCTATGGAAAGGTGTTGCTAGATGGGAGCTAAAACAAGCCACCACCCCCTCAAAAAAACCCCAAACAAACAAAACAAAAAAAACCAAGCCGCCACAGGAAGGTGAAATTAAGCACAAAAATCCTGTGGCCTTTATGACTCAATCTTCAGCCCCTTTGTGTTCCTTGTATTAGACAAAGGGGGCAGAAAGCCAGCAGATCTCCCCAACTGGGGATTCATCTGGTGTAAGGGGATGTCTGGGAGGCATGGAACTGTTGTAATCTGATCCTACACCATCCTCTTCTCTCATGCGCCCTACCCTTGGGGCCAGAAGTATTGCCAGATGGGAAAGGGGCACGACCACTGTGCTCACCAACTCCTATCTGGTGAATGGCCTTTGAGGGCCATAGCCAGCTGGGTGTAGCATGGAGTAGCAGAGAGCCCAAGGCCTGGCTGATCCCCACAGCCACCATTAGGGATATGAATGGGAGGCAGACAGTACCCATGGATGTGCCACACAATAGTGTTTCATTAGATCTTAGTGACCCATTAGTGCTGCATAATATCCCAATACCTCTCACCCACCACAAAGATCTGTTGTTTATGGCTAAGTCCCAGTTCAGCTCACTCTAAACCTTGCTTTGATCCCTTCTGAAGAAAAACAGGAGATGATATGGTACTAGGATTGTTCCTTAAAGTCATGATACAATTTTTGATACCATAATCTGAGTCAAGAATTGTCTCTGGGATTGAGTAGTTTTTCAGATCCCCATGCACGGATAAAAGATCAGCTCTTTTTAAACTGCAGTGTATGTATAATGCTGGAGAGCTGAATTCTTATAAAGGCTTGTTATTAACCCTGCAATGGAACTGACATTTGTTTTGATAGTAAGCCTCATAGCATTACTTAAACCAGTCAGAACAAAGATGTAGTTCCTGGAGATCATAAATATAGAACACTAGAGGGCCATTTTCTGCTACCCTTACTGTGCAGTTAGTTCCTTTCATTTCAATGGGACCACTCGTGGAGTGAGGCATTACTACTCAACCTGAGTAGGGTTAGCAGAATATGGCCATAACAGAGTTTTAAATAAAGGCTTGTTTTCTTTAAATGCTTTGTCTCCCATCAGACTGGTGCTTGATTTTTAATATCTACTTTTCAGTGTTGGAATAATATCATTTTACAGACATTTAAGCCCCTTCGTTTTCAGTTTAAGCAGATTTTTACCAAAAAAATCCCAGGTTTTACAGCAAGTATTTGTTTTCTGATTTTCACCCTACTTTTGTATCATTCAAATTATGTATATAATATAGTATTATATTATATATATAAAAAAACCAACCCTGGTTTTATTAGGAAAATACAATCCATTGCATAAGATATATGTATTACGATAATACATTAGTCTGTATGTATATGTAAAGTTGCCTGTTGAAGTAAGGCTATGTATTAGTTTAGAAGATACACACAATAAACAAACAGGCACGCATGCAAGCTCTGAAGTGCATGTGCATGTGAACATACTGATGAATCTCATGTCCACCACAAACATTTCAAGCTGTTAGCAGATAAGTTTAAAAATTTGACACACTAAAATGGGAAGAAAATGAATATCCATCAAAATAAACCCTGATATTTACCCAGAAAAAATAAGGTTTTTTACACCAATTTTCATCTGTTTTTGTTGTTGTAGTAAAAGACCGATAAATTCCCGGAAAAATTAAATAAAATAAAAACCAAAAAGGGCCCTACAGATACTGTATTTTTCAAGCAAATGTATTTTGAGATACATCTGTGTATATCCTAAATGTACTGTAATGATATCATACTATCCTCATGCCAAATCAGCTTGGGAATGTGCATTAAAAGCAGTATGTGTCTGAGTAAATGTGAGCAGTAAATTAAACGGATAAGTATTGGTTTTATAAATGAAATGTTCAATAGAGACAAACATTTTGCAGCTCACTCTATTCAAAAGTAAATGTTGAACAGTCTTAGAGAAGAAGGTGTTATATCAATAAGAGCTGCATAACTTAGTGTTCAATAGTGGTGCTAAAACATATATACGAGTGTTTTGTGGAAATTGCATTAATGCATTTTAAAAAAATCTTTTGGCACATAGTTATATTTTAGGTATATTTTATTAGCCTTTTGCTTTGTTACATGGGGATTGTGGGGGCAAACTCTTCTTATATGTCCTATTCTCACATGTCGTTGTAGCTGTGTTGGATCAGGAAGTTAGCGAGACAAGGTGGGGAGGCCATATCTTTTACTGGACCATCTTCTGTTGGTGAGAGAGACAAGCTTTTGAGCTTACACAGACTTTTTCTTCAGGTCTGGGCCAGAACTGTGCAAGCTCGAAATCTTGCCTCTCTCACCAACAGAAGATGGTCCAGTAAGAGATATGATCTCCTCCATCTTCTCTCTCTATTCTCACATATCAGACTTGTTATTTTTAGGGCTGTCAATCACAGTTAACTCTAGCGATTTAACTCAGAACAAATTAACTCAATTAAAAATTAATTGTGATTAATTGCACTGTTAAACAATAAAATATCAATTTCAAATTATTATAAATATTTTTGGATGTTTTTCTACATTTTCAAATATATTGATTTCAAGTACAACAGAATACAAAGTGTACAGTGCTCACTGTTATTTTTGATTAAATATTTGCACTGTAATAATGATAAACAAAAGAAATCATTTTTCAATTACTCATACAAGTACTGTAGTGCAATCTCTTTATCATGGAAGTGCAACTTAAAAACAATTCTACATTTGTGTTACATAACTGCATTCAAAAATAAAACAAAGTCCACGCAGTCCTACTTCTTGTTCAGCCAATCACTAAGACAAACAAGTTTGTTTACATTTACGGGGTCCTACTTGTAATTTTCCACCCAGTAATGCACTTCCATGATAAAAAAATTGCACTACAGTACTTGTAAAAGGTGAATTGAAAAATGATTGCTTTTGTTTCTTTTTTACAGTGCAAATATTTGTAATAAAAAGCTGAGCACTATACACTTTATTCTGTTTAGTAATTGAAATCAATATATTTGAAAATATCCAAAAATATTTAAATAAATGGTATTCTATTGTTTAATGGTGCGATTAAAACTGCGATTAATTGCAATTTTTTAAATCTCGTGATTAATCGTGATTTTTTAAAAATAGTTTGACAGCCCTAGTTATTTTGCATTAACAGAAAGCAGAGACGTGTTTATCTAGCAGTCTAGGAGCCATGAATTTTCCATGAGTTTTAATCCCAAAGGAGGATGCTAACTTCCTTTGTAGCCTTGGACAAGTCACTCTGCCTCAGGTTCCCTTTCGGTAAAATGGATTGAATGCTACCTTGCAGTGGTGTTGTGAGGATAAATTAATGTTTGCAGTGCTCTGAAGATGAAAATAGTCAGTGCTGAGTGTTACTGTTGTTATGCTCTACTCCCTCAATTTGAGCCCTGATTTTACGTTACAAATAGAACAGAAAAATAGGAAACAAAATACAGCTAGCGCACATGGTAATGTAGGATGGAAATTAAAAAGAAAAAAAAACAGCAAACACCTCAAATCCAGCAGTGTGTGGTATTTATGCTAAAATATGGGTAACCCATAAATTCAGATCCAAATGATCCTGCAGTATTGGGGGTCTACATTTCAAATGATCTGATACTTTCTAAATATTTTCATAAATACAGAAGCCTAATGGTTACCCCCCCCCCCTTAAATACACCAGCCCCCAATTCCATGGTTTTGAAGGCCATCACCTTCATCTAATCTTTCTAGAGATCAAAATGAAGTGGGTAACTAACACAGGGTTTTTTTAATGATTTTATGTACTTTATAACATTAGTATGTTTGGTTTTGGTTTTTAACCTGAGCTCAATAGCCAAAAAATGTTCTCAATTTTATAACGTATGTAACATTTTAAAAAAAGATTAATATACACTACATCTACCATAATGCTGAGTTGTCTACTTCTTTTCTATGCAGCTATCACTGTCTTTAGTCAAAGCCCAGTGTTAACACGTGTTTCTGACCCAGCTGCTGAGAAAGCAGTGATAATGAAAAATTTGGATTTGATTAAAAGAAGCAAAGTGGAGTACTATAAGGCTAAGATTTTTGTCATGGTGATTTTTAGTAAAAGTCACGGGCAATGAACAAAAATTCAAGGAAGCCATGATCTTCTGTGATTTTTGCTGCTGCAGCTCCATGGTTTCCCCTGCCACCGTGGTGGCTGGGAGCTGTGGGGTTCCCCTTCTGCCCACAGCAGCTGGAAGCTGCAGGGTGACCATATCTCCCAGGGAGAAAATGGGACACCCTCAGCTGCTCGCCCAAGGCACTCACTTTTCTCCCCCCACTCCCTGTCAGGCTGTCGCTTGGCGCTGCAACCCTGAGGAGGTCCCCCTCAGGATGCTGTCGCCTGTTGCTGGAACCCTGCCAGCACAGTCACTGGGGCTGAAGCCAGGGCCGGCTCTAGCTTTTTTGCTGCCCCAAGCAGCAAAAA